CTCTCTCTCTGTCCCTCCCCCCAACTCATGCTCTCTCTCTCTCAAATAAATAAATAAAATCTTTTAAAAAACCAAGACAAAAAACCCATAGAGGTTTATGGAACAACGATTCAAGCGGGCAGAGGAAGGAACAAAAGCCCTCCCTTATGTAAACTGAGGCAGGGCGCAAGAAAACACAGCCACATTATTTTCAATCAAGTGAGTATAACATTAGTATCAAAACCTGAAAGGAAGGAAGGAAGGAAAGAGGGAGGCTGGGGGTGGGGTAAAAAATCACAGCCCACCGTCACATGTGAAGATTCGTGAAAAACTAAAGAAAACATTAACAAGCAGAATCCAGCAGCGCGTTAAAGGAATAACACAACTTGTCTCAGCATATTCCCTCCTGGAATGAAAGGGTGGTTCAGCATATTTTGGAAAATTCATTAATATAATTCGGGAAATTCATGAATGTAATTTATCATATTCGTGGGTTTAATAAGAAAAGTCATACCGTGAACTTCATAGGTGTTGAAAAGGCATGTGATAGACTCAACAACCATTTTTTAAAAATACTTTATTTTTTTAAGTTTTATTTATTTAAATAATCTCTCCACCCAATGTGGGACTCAAACTCACAACCACTGAGATCAAGAGTCGCACGCTCTGCCAACTGAGCTAGCCAGGTGCCTCATGGTCCGTCTTTTTAAATCAAGAATGGTTGCTGAGGGGCACCTGGCTGGCTCCATAAGTGGAGCGTGTGACTCTTGATCTCAGGGTTGTGAGTTCAAGCCCTACGTTGGGTGGAGAGATTACTTTAAACAAATAAAATATTTTTTAAAATATTTATTTATTTGAGGGGGGAGGGGTAGAGGGAGAGGGAGAGAGAGTCTTTCTTTTTTTTAAATATTTTATTTATTTATTTGACAGAGAGAGAGAGAGCATGAGCCAGGGAGAGAGGCAGAAGCAGACTCCTCGCTGAGCAGGGAGCCTGATGTGGGCCTCAATCCCAGGATCCCGGGACCATGACCTGAGCCAAAGGCAGATGCTTAACTGACTAAGCCACCTGGGCACCCCAGGAGACAGAGTCTTAAGCAGACTCCACGCTGAGCATGAGCCTGACATGGGGCTCGATCTCATGACCCTAAGATCATGACCCAAACCAAAACCCAGAGTCAGATGCTTAACTGACTGCACCACCCAGGTGCCCCATAAATAAAATCTTTTTTAAAGAAAACCATGGAAGAATTCCTTTATCACCACAGAATAGAGAGGTCATTTTAATAATGATGCAAAATCCAAAAGTCAAATAAGAAAAGATTGAAAATTTGATGACAAAAAAAAAAATTTACAAAAAAAAAAATCAATAACGATAGCACAATAACAAAGTCAAAAGACAGACTGGAAAAAATACTGGCAACTTTCACCACAGGCCAAGAGCCAATCTTCCTACTATCTAAAGGCTTATAGAAATTGGTACAGAAACCACAAACTGCAATCAAAAAATTGATAAAGGATGTGAAGAAGCAGTTCACAGAAAAAGAAATGCAGGGGCGCCTGGGTGGCTCAGTCGTTAAGCATCTGCCTTCGGCTCAGGTCATGATCCCAGGGTCCTGGGATCGAGCCCCGCATCGGGCTCCCTGCTCAGCGGGAAGCCTGCTTCTCCCTCTCCCACTCCCCCTGCTTGTGTTCCCTCTCTCGCTGTGTCTCTCTCTGTCAAATAAATAAAATCTCTGAAAAAAAAAAAAAAGAAATGCAAATACACCTTAAATACATTAAAAGTTGCTCAACCTCACTCATAAGAAAATAAATGCAGAAGTCAGACTAATTCATTTAATGAAACACTTTGGAGGCTTGGCAGCTATAATCTGAGGCTGCCTGCATCCCTCCCCTGCACCCCTGGCCCCCTCCACCTGTGAACCTTTGGGCCACGGGGGGCGCCGGGGATGCGCAAGGGGCTGGGAATACTGTAGTCCCGAGTATGACCAGCAGGTGGCGGCGCAGCTGCACCAAGCCCTGCACCAAGCAACCCCAGAAAAACAGAAAACCCAAATTAAAAATTCCTTGGCCTGGGAGCAGACAGTCAGTTGGAAATTCCGGGAGCCTTCTGGCAAATCTGGGAGGTTTGACCTTCTGCTGTAAGCAGAGCCTAGGGGCGTCCATGACAAGCAAAGGCAGGGGAGAAGAGAACATTTTTTATGCATATGGAAAAAGGAAATAGAGACAAGAATTCGCCCCCAGGTGCCATGGATTTCAGCAGCTCCCTTGAGCCCCACAATTTTCTTTTTTTTTTTATTCTTATGTTAATCCCCATACATTACATCATTAGTTCTAGATGAAGTGTTCCATGATTCATTGTTTGTGCATAACACCCAGCGCTCCATGCAGAATGTGCCCTCCTCAATACCCACCACCAGGCTAACCCATCCTCCCACCCCCCTCCCCTCTAGAACCCTCAGTTTGTTTTTCAGAGTCCATCGTCTCTCATGGTTCGTCCACCCCTCCGATTTCCCCCGCTTCATTCCTCCCCTCCCGCTACCTTCTTCTTCTTCTTCTTCTTTTTTTCTTAACATATCTTGCATTATTTGTATCAGAGGTACAGATCTGAGATTCAACAGTCTTGCACAATTCACAGCGCTTACCAGAGCACATACCCTCCCCAGTGTCTATCACCCAGTCACCCCATCCCTCCCACCCCACCCCCCACTCCAACAGCACTCAGTTTGAGCCCCACAATTTTCTAAGTGAGGCTGGGTCCCAGCGCCCCAGAATCACCTGGGGGCTTATTTTTAAATGCAAATTCTGGGGCCTTCCCTTGTGGCAGGACCTGCCAGCATTCCTGGGGTTTCTGACCCAAGCTCAGGTTTGAACCAGGTTGCTACCAACATGACAACACGGCCTCGCTTGGGCCAGAAATCAGGGGCCGGAAATGGGAGGCCTCAAAGTTCCTGCCCCCGGAGGCCAGGCCTTCCCCTGTGAAGATGCTATTTGCACACACATGGTAGAAAGCCCAGTTCTTCCATGTGAGATTCAGCCTTCGGGCTTCTGGACTAGGGCTCTGCCCAGTCAGCCCCTCGCTCATGGCCTCCTGCTCTGATTTGGGTTGGTTCTCTCTCCACTTCTCTCTACGCACTGTTTTTTTTTTTTTTTTTTTAAAGATTTTATTTATTTATTTGAGACAGAGAGAATGAGATACAGAGAGCACATGAGAGGGGGGAGGGTCAGAGGGAGAAGCAGACTCCCCGCCGAGCAGGGAGCCCGATGCGGGACTCGATCCCGGGACTCCAGGATCATGACCTGAGCCGAAGGCAGTCGCTTAACCAACTGAGCCACCCAGGCGCCCCTCTCTACGCACTGTTTTAAAATTCATAAGGAGGGGTGCTCTGGTGGCTAAGTGGGTTAAGCGTCATGATGTCCGGGTCCTGGGATCGAGTCCCATATGGGGCTCCCCACTCAGTAGGGAGTCTGCTTCTCTCTCATAAATAAATAAATAAATAAATAAATAAATAAATAAATAAAGTCTTAAAAAATAAAATAAAATTCATAATGAGTTCTTGCCCAGAGAGGCCGAGTATGGCAACAGCCCTGGCTTTGAAATCCAGGCCCAGAACCCCCGCTCCTCGGCACCCCGGCTGGGTGCCACAGTGGCCGGATTCTCCAAGCGCTCTGGGAAGTTCAGGGTCCAGACGCCTACCCACACCTCATCCATACTTCTAGCACTCGTCAGACTTCTGTCCGGAACTGACTCAGCCCATTCCTCTCCTAGCCTGGGAGAGATGACTTCCGGCTCCCTGGCTGGCCCTAAGTCTGACCCCAATCCCGAAATCTAGCCTTTCGCTGGGATTTGGCACATGACAGGCCAGAGGCCACATGGCAGCTGGCCAGAGGCCCTGGAGAGAGCGCGGGCTGCCGTGTCTGGTTCTAATCCACACTCTGCTGTGTGACCTGGGGCAAGCTGCCTGCCCTCTCTGAGCCTCGGTTTCCTTGTCTGGAGGAATTAGCACCAACTCTCTTGCACAAGGGCTGCTATGAGGAGCAAAGGAGAGGGTACGGACCGCATGGTCAGCACAGAGCCCAACACACCGCAAGCCCGCAGTGTCAGCAACAGCTGCTCCTAAGAGGTTCAGCCGAGGCGGAGTGCTGGGGAGGGGGCTGCCTTCGCACCTCCTCACGCCAAGCTGGGCTGGAGTTAGACCCTGGGTCAGGGAGGTATGACTTCACTCACTTTCCCAGTCTGCACGCCTGCTCGACTCCAGGCCCACGGGGGGCATCAAATGGATGTGAGGGGATCACAGCCATGCTTTCCACCCTGGGGGAGCTTCCAGTCCAATAAAGGCAACCTGGAACCTGGAAATAGAAGCTTCCCAAAATAGCGAGTCTGCAAGCTGGTCTCCCATGCTGCCTGGCGGGAGGCGCGCAGTAAGGAGGGAATGAGCACAGCCCTGGGCCCTCCGGCCACCTCCCTCCACGCTGGGAGCCCACCTGCTTCCCTGCAGCCTCGGGGCCAGCTAGGGAGGGCCCTGCCCAGTCCCCCACCCAGTCCCCACCACTGTGCTGTAGCAAAATGGCCTGAATCTCAGGCCAATACGGCTGAAGCTCAGGCCAACAGTTTCCTGATTTAAAGGGCCACGTGTAGAGGGATATGAAAGTTCGGTTTAGGAATGTGAGCAGGCCCCCTGCAGAGAGCTGCCCAAGCCTCCCTCAGTAGCTAGACCTGACTTTCCTGCCCAGGAGCCCACGCTGAGATTGAACTTTAACCAAGGCCACGGCCGGGTGCCACTTCCCTCCACAACTGGAGCTCAGTAACATCACAGCTTAGTGCATCTTATTTGTTTTTCACACCTGCTTGAATTTTACTCTTGGTGCTGGAGAACCAGGGCGCCTCGGATGCCCCAGGCAGCCTGGGCACAGTGAGCTTTGTCCCTGATATCCCCTCTCCAGAGGGGTGGGGCACCCACGCGTCACTCCCAGAAACAGGGTAAGGAGGAGTTTCTTCAAAGCACCTGGGGCATCTCAGGACTGACTCGACCAGTTGCTAGCCCGCACTCCCAACCCAACTGCAGGCTAGCGAGGGCAGAAGGTCCGATGGCCCAGGGTTCCGGCACTTGCTAGTGGTTCAGCAGCCGGACACTCGCGGGCTCCCTGACCTTTGGGAAGGCCGCCCTGGCCGCCCACGGCTCTGCCCATGGCATTCACCGAGCTCCTGGAGCGAGCAGGGGGAGTGGGCCTCTTCCAGGCCCTGCAGGTCTTCACTCTCCTCCTTCCCTCCATGTTGGTGCCCTCCCAACTGCTGATGGAGAACTTCTCGGCCGCCGTGCCCAGCCACCGATGCTGGGTACCCCTCCTGGACAACAGCACTGCCCAGGCCAGTGTCCCCGGGGCCCTGGGCCCCAAGGACCTCCTGACCGTCTCCATCCCCCCGGGCCCCGACCACGAGCCCCATCGGTGTCGCCGCTTCCGCCAACCACAGTGGCAGCTCCTGGACCCCAACGCCACGGCCACCAACTGGAGCGAGGCTGCCACAGAGCCGTGCATGGACGGCTGGGTCTACGACCGCAGCACCTTCCCCTCCACCATCGTGGCCAAGGTAAGGGCCTCCCCCCGCCAGCCCCCGGCTCTCTTACCTGGCCTCCCAGTGATGGCCACCCGCCCATGCCTGGAAGGATCGCACCGCTTCCGCAGGCGCTACTGAATGAGATGCTACTCCCTCAACACATATTTACTCACTGCTTATGAAGGCCCAGATCCTGATCTGAGGCCGGGGTCCCAGGATAAGCAAGGGAGCCTTTGAGGAGCTCCTGTTCCGCCGGCAGCTTCAGAATGGGTCAACATTTAACCCCGCCCCAACAGGAGAGTGGCAGGCACCGTTCCAGAGGCTTTGCCCATAGTCTCACTCCAATCTCACGAGGGGGGTCTTGTTGTTGTCTGCATCTGGTAAGGAACAAAACAGAAGCACAGTGAGGGAAATAAGTTGCCCAGGACCCACGGCTCCAACACTCCAGCGCCCGGCTCAGCCCAGACCGCCAGGAGCCGGAAGATGGGTCTCCATCACATCCTGTCCTGCCGCTACGAAGGAGAAAAGCAGGTCCTGTGAGCAAGGAGGAGAGGCAGGTGGGGAAGGCCTCTCAGGAGGTGAGACCTGGATTAGGAGACAAGGTCACGTGAAGGTGCGGAGAGAGCCCAGTGGGAACAGAAGTCCAGGTCTGGGGTGTTGAAGGAGCAGAAGGAGGCCTAGTGTGTCTGGGCACAAGGGGTCAGGGGCCGGCACAACGCAAAGAAGGTGGGTGAGGTGCACTTTCTTCAAGTGCAAAAGAAAGTCACTGGAGGCTTTGGGGCAAGGAAGTGAGGTGATCTGCTTTGCATTTTCCAGTTATCATTTTGCCTTGTGGGGACAGGGGGCTCCTGCTTCCGTGGGCCTGGCGAGAGAGGCGGAAATGGAACGAAGGTGTCAGGTCTTGGTGGAGGGTTGCCTGGTGGGGGGTGTTCAGGTCATGGATGCCCAGACCCGGGCAGGAGGCACTCAAAAATTATGGTGGCACGTGCTCAGCACTCTCTGCTCATCCCGGCAGCCCTGTGAGGGAAGCAGCTGCAGGGCCCCCCTTCTGGGTGAGAAACCGGGCTCAGCACATACAGGAACCACCCCTGGGCTCACCCAGCGAGCGATCCACAGAGTTAGAACGCCAGCCTGTGGTTCAGTCCCCGCGCTCCGCTGCCCACCTCCGTCCACTCGGAGTGGCCGAGTCCCGTGTGTGCCACGCAGCTAGCTGGGAGGACAGAGCTGAACCCGCCCCCCGCCCCAGCCCAGCACACCCCTTCCACCTCTGTCGCCTGGCCTGAGAGACCCCCCAGGACCCAGGCTGACCAGGGTGTGCATCCCCTGAGCCCAGCTGCCGTGCCCACCCTCTCTTCCAGTGGGACCTAGTGTGTGACTACCAGGGCCTGAAACCCCTGGGCCAGTCCATCTACATGGCCGGCGTCCTGCTGGGGTCCATCTCCTGGGGCCTCCTCTCTGACCGGTGAGTATCTCCTCTCCCCCTCGACTCCTCCTCGACAGAACGAGCGCCATGGGGACAGAAGTACAGAAATGGCCCATGAATGTCCCCAGGGAGCAGTATCAGCCTAGAAGCCCACACCAGCTTAAGCCACTCTGTGCGAGATCCCCTCAAACACAGCGCTCTCTCCTCTGGTGACACCAACCGTCCAGAGCACCTGTGTGCGAGGCGCTGTAGAGCCCCTGCCCTCAGGGAGCCCATAGTCTTCTGCGGAGAAATAGACCGCTCTTTCTTCTTCGTCGTCATCGTCGTCTTCTTCATTTTTTAAAAAAGATTTTATTTATTTGTTTGTTTGTTTATTTATTTATTTATTTCAGAGAGAGAGAGCATGCGAATGAGCATGGGGGGGTGGGGCAGAGGCAGAGGGAGAAGCAGGCTCCCCACCGAGCAGGGAGCCCGATGTGGGGCTCGATCCCAAGACCCCGGGATCCTGACCTGAGCCGAAGGCAGACGCTTAACTGCTTTAACCGCTTAACCGACAGAGCCTCCCAGGCGCCCCCCACCCCTCTTTCTTCTAACTCCAAGTACAGGGCACACTGTGAAGTCGAAATCCTCCTCCCCCTCCTCTGGCCCCTTCCCTTCCGTCTCCTGCTCCTCCTTGTGAGGCGGTGCCCCGCCCCCAGCCCTGTCCCTTTCTTGGCCGGCTGCCCACCCCCGCTGCTCGAGGCCCTACCACCAGGCGCCAGTGACGCCTGCGTTCCGCCCACTCGGCTGGTAGAGCCAGCTGCCTGCTTGGAGCTCGCACGTGGAGGAGCATTTGCCTCTCATTTGCCGCGGCCAGCGCTGGACTCCTGACCCTCCCGCGCCAGCCCAGCCCCTCCGCACCAGACTCCATCCGGGAAAACGGCCCCCCGGCCCATGGCACACACCCAACCCTGGAGCCAGCCCTGTTCTCCCACCCTCGCCCCTAGATCCAGCCCCACGCCCCTCTCCTCCATTCCGTCCCCTTGCCCAAGCCACCTGCCTCTCTTGCCCGGGCAGGCCCTGGCCCCCTCGAGGGTCTCTTGCCTCCATTCCGCGTGACTTCAAAAACCTATACGTGGATCTGGTTGATGCCAGCCTGAAGTCCTCCAGGCCCACCACACTTAGGACAGTTCCTGCCCCCACCCCGTCCCCCTCCACCCCTGCTTGGCACTTGGCTTCTCTCCCACAGCCATGCCGGCCCCTCCTGGAGCACCCTCGGCATCCCGGCTGCAGAGCCCCGAGGTGGCCGGTGGCCGAGCCTCGCTCCGAAGGTTCTCCCTGTGGTCTCTTTGTGCCCAGCACGTAGGCCTCAACCCCAGGCGGCCTCGTCCTGGCCACGCCTTCTTTCCTTCCTCACTGCACCTACTCTGATAGTACTCGGTCGCTCACTCCTTGCTCACCTGCTGCGTGCGTCCCCACGAGACGTAGCTCCAAGAAGGCAGGGGCATGGCGTCCCCAGCCTCCAGCACGCAGCACGCACTCAGTCATTATTTAGTGAATGCACGAACGGCTTCCCGACTTTCTCCTGACCGTGAGGGCTCAGGGGTCTGACCCTGGGTTCCCATCCCCACCTCCCTTTCCCTCGTCCCCTAGAAGGCGGGTATGTTGCTTCTCTGTGCCTCCATTTCTTCCTGCACGTGGGGACCTGGCTCTATCCATGGGGTTGTTGTGGGTTAACCACAGACAGAGCTCGGGCCAGGGCCTGACACGGGGCGGGCTCCTCGTGCTGTGGTTCTGCTACCTTCGTCATCTGTGGGCCTTATTTAATCCTGAGCGTGGTGGGGGGCCCCGAGCAGCAGGGAAGGACGTGGTCCAGGTGGCACTTTCCAAGGACAGCTGCCGTGCGGCTCTGGCTCACTCCCCAGGGGCCGTCCACACCGGGAGCCAAATCACCGTCGGTCCGCAGCTTACCCGGGGAGCCTGGCATCAGGGTCTGGTGTCAGCGTCCAGACCTCGCCCTGGGTCTGGGCCAAATGTCCTTGTTCCTGGGCACTGCTCACGCAGCGGGCCAAGTGTTGCCCACATCTCTCCCATTGCACCAATGCACGCTTTAGCTAAATGCGGGCCATGGTTTGGGCTAAGCCAGCCGTGGGGCCGTAGCGGCACGGTGGGTGTGCAGGTGGACCGCTGAGGGCCCGACACCGGTTGTCTCCCGGGAGCTCCAGTCCCAGTGGGCAGACCGGCAGGGAGCTGGCCGGTTTGCCCAAGGCCACGTGCGCTCAGCCTCCCGGCCGTGCCGCCCCCTTGCTCTGCATCATGGTTTTCACAACTCTGAGGCTGTCATCATGCACACCCTCATTGTGCAGACGGGGAATGGTGGCTCAGAGACTTTGAGTCCTGTGCCCAGGGTCACCCAGGCAGGACAGAGCTGGGCTCAAACCCAGGCTTCTGATGCCAAAGCCCATCTTTGTTCAGTTTTTATTTAAATTGCAGTTAGTTAACATGCATTGTAATATGAATTTCAGGTGTACAATACAGTGATACAACCATAGCCCGTTCTTTTTCTTTTAAGATTTTATTTATTTGTGGGCGCCTGGGTGGCTCAGTTGGTTGGGCGACTGCCTTCGGCTCAGGTCATGATCCTGGAGTCCCGGGATCGAGTCCCGCATCGGGCTCCCTGCTCGGC